TCAGCCCTTGCTTAGTTCTCTGTATCTTAATAAAAAACATTTGTGTTTTAATTCTTCCATTCTGTGTTTGTATGTTTTAGGAGAGCTAGGTACATAATTACAACAAGGTGTGGTTACCATTCTTACACAGTGCTGTGTCCTATAGGTAACATCTGGGTGAGGAATTACTGCAGTAGCAGTCGGTTCCCAAGCTGCAGGTCACCTTCCCAAAGGGGGATCTCAAGGTTTTGATCCTCTATCTCTTATCTAAAATGCTCTCAGTGCAGGTGAGATAATGTGCTTTGGAGACATGACTCTTCCATACAAAGCCACTGCTGTGGCCCATGGATCCTTGGCACTTTACTGAACTTGAGTCTCACTGTCTTTTTCTGATTACCCATACAAGCTGACACAAAATGCTATCCAGAACAAAAGACGGCTCTGCTGACTTACAAGTCTCAGATTAATGCAATTTTATCAAAAAAATATGATGCAGTAGTCCTTTCTAGTGGGGCTGTGTGCCGATGTTCTGATGCTGCGAGCTCCAGTATATTAGTCTTTTTAGTGAACAACCATCTTTAAACTGGCTACCTTATCTTTTAGCAAAGTTTTCAGGTGCCGTCATGTAGCATCACTATGTGACTTCCAAACTAAGCTCACTTCAATACAGTCAGTTCAGAGTGTGGGCAAGAAGGAGACCTTAACCTGGTCCTCTGTACTCTCCTCAGCATCTGCAACGTGCCCAGTTTTGCCGTCGATGCAAAGCAGAGAAGTAGGTTAAGTTAAGCTGCCTGAATAGGGCCAAATTGTCACAAAGGGAATTAAGGATCGGTTACTAGCACACTGTAAAACACCCGGACTTCCTATGTAAACAAGGCCAGCACTAGTAAAAAAAAGGAATGAATGTTACTTCTACTAATAAGTGTGGCTATTTCTTTAATGGCCCAGTGTTAACATATGTTAACATAGCTGGATATTTTAAAAAAAAAAAAGGAAAAATAGAAATCAAGTTCGAGTTCTGGCCTTATAAAGCACAGCTTTACGTACACATCTTCTTTCATACTTCAAGATGAATATCCTTCGTATTCCCTATGCATATTTTTCAATTTCCCTTCTGTTGTTTGACTAATAAGACAAGGTAACGCATCAGTTAAGACCAATTAATATTCAAATAGCTGAGAAGATAAATCAGTCTAAGATTACTTAGTGGTGCGTTTCCCCTACCTTTGTTTGGGAAGAGCTCTAAGTCTTAAAGATATAAGGTTTAATAAAGTCCTAGCAACAGTGCAGACAAAATTTAACATCACACATACAAAGAAAAGTATGAACATAAACTTCCCACACTGGCCTATTCCCATGGTGTTTAGACCCTTCAAGTACTTGAAGACATTTACCATATTTTCCCTTAGTCATCATTTGGCTAAACTTATACGTACTTAAGCCTTTTAGTCTTTCCTCATAAATCAAACTCTGCAACCCATGATTACTTTTGTTACTTTTTTTCTGAAGCGTCGCCAGTTTGATGACATCTTTCTGGGATCAAGGTTTATTCCAAAATTTGCAGACAGAACTGTAATCATTGCTACTTCTAGAGTTGGTCTCCATGCTAGAGCCCACAGTGCCTAAGAGTAGGATGATGAAGGTTTCTGAGATGAAGGGAAAAAAGTGGGTATTATACTACACTGGGCACAGACTGGTGTCCTCAGAGAAGGTTCAGACCAAAAGGGAAGTGTTGACTTCTACTAGAATAATTTTGCATGTTCTTCATGTAAGAAAGTAAGAAACTTTGCTAATATTGTGGTCTGGTTGTTAGTCCCTGAGGTGAGGGACAGTATATGGAGGAGAGCAGCAAAGAAACTGTCTAGTGGAAGCAGAAGTCAGTGAAGTCGTGCTATCCCCACCTCAACCTCTGCTACTGCATCCTTGGGCTCTTAAATGCTTTTGGACCAGGCCATGCCAACAGAGAACTTCTGTGAGGCAACAAAAAAAAAGGCGGTGGTGTAAAATGAAACCTCACTATAATTAGAAAATGAGTGCATGCGAGGAATGAAGGTGATGTCATCTGGATACAAGCAGCGGAGCAGAGCGCACATCGAAGTCATGCTGGCTGGGATGGGTGCGTTTGGACTGAAAGCTCGCTAAGCCTGAGGAAAAGGCAAAATGATAAATGGCAAAATATGGCCTTGGAGAGGAAAAGAGGAATTGCAGAGCTTGTGCTGAGGTTGGTGGCAAGCTTCGTTGGGAGGTGAAGGTGTAGCAAATGTTTGGCACCCTGTAGAAAAGGCCAGAGGCCTGATACAGGGCCTGCTGACTGACTATCCCTCTACTGACCATTAGTACTGAAACCGATCTGATGGGACGACAGCAGTTTCTAGGAAGACATGGCGCAAATTACCTCAAGAAAAATACAGTGAAAACATTCCCTTTAAAGTTTTACATTTCCTGTGGTTTTAGATGATTGGCAAAGTGAATTTATCAGCAGGGCAGAGGCTTTCTGATTTTCTCTTTTGAGTATGAACTCCACTTTGTCACTGCTTTCTCCTGAATTGAGGGGACATCTTGAGTATTATCCATAATCTTGACAATAAGATAAAACAAAATATAACACAGTCTGCTCATCTGGACTTCTTTTTCAATCTCACAACTACAGGCATATTCCTTGCTGTGACAACTTGCTGAAGCCAGGCTTGCTCACATTTTTCCACTGGATTACCAGGGAAATATATAGAATTAAAAAAAAAAAAAAAGCCTTGCAGAAAGAAGTTACTTTTTCTTTCCAAACCCAGTAGAATTAAATTCTGTCAGTGAGAGATTGTTTCTAAAATACATTGTCAGATGTTGCTTATTTCCATGCAAAACAGGATCTTCTTTGCCAAATATGCATTGCATGTTTGTTCCATGCTATGCATAGTGCTTATGGTGGGTCGCTATCATTGGTCAAATGAAAAATGAAGGCTTAGTTCCAAACTCTTAGTCACTGTTGTTCTGAATATGTGGAATCTCAAGGGAAAAAGCACAAGGCCGTCCTTTTTTGGCAAACCACAGGGGCCCATGATGACCATTCAAGGCAATTAAACGTTGTGACTTCTTACAAACAATTTCATTAGTTTTCCTTGAGTGATTTACATTGCAAAGATAAGCTTATTGTTGTTAATAAGTGGCAAGTAAAATTTTGCTTTTGCATTTGTCAAAAAAATAGCTTTGTAAGGTATGACCAGTGGGTCTGTGTCCATCCTGCTGAGGTAAACCATGGGATTACCAGGGTGTGTTAGCATGTTCTTTGCCAAAATTTTGGCTTATAGTGGCAAGTGCTCTTCCAGACAATGTTGGGACCCGATTCAAATGACAGACAACCTTGGCCTACTTGAATTACTGGTAAAAGCACAGTCTAAAGGACCCAGTGTCTCCCCTTTCTCTGGAGAGTGCCTTGTTTCCCCCATCTTCAGCATCTTGCGCTCAACATTTGCTGGTAGCATTATTCACATTCATGAGGACTGTATCTCCCTTAAAATTACCCTCCTGGCTGGCTTGCTGACATGGGTCTTGAGAGTAAGTAATGTGGACTAGGTGATGTTTTTGAGCCTTGTCCAAGTGGTCACAGAATCATAGAATGCCAAGGGTTGGAAGGGACCTCTAGAGATATCCAGTCCAACCCCCCTGCCAGAGCAGGATCACCTACAGTAGGTCACACAGGAACACGTCCAGGCGGGTTTTGAATGTCTCCAAGGAAGGAGACTCCACAACCTCCCTGGGCAGCCTGTGCCAGTGCTCTGTCACCCTCACAGTGAAAAAGTTTTTTCTAATGTTTGAGGACATTGAACCCAAGTTTCTCAATTCCTGGGAAGTCTTGCAACCAGGAGGCACTGAGATGAAAGGGGTGATATCCTTCCCTCGAAGTAATGGAGTTGTCTAATGTGTGATGAGCCTGATTCTGCTGTTTAAGGCATGTCCAAGTGTTTCTTGTGCTTGGGGGACCTAATGTTTGGATACAGGTGGTGCTTCAGCAGGCACCAGGGTGCTCAGGCTGGGGCTGCCCAGGTGTGCTGCAACTGGGAAATTTCAAGCTAGAAGCTTAGCTGGGGAGGAGAGGGTTACATTGCAGGGCTGGTCCCAGGTTTCAAGGAAATCATTGTGGAAGAGGAGAGTATGTTTAAAAATTGCAGTTTGTGCTTCTCATTGCACTGAATCTGGTCCTTTTAGATGGTGTGTGCTTAACACATCACTAACAGAGAACCATAGATGGTACTGCTGAACTGCTTGAGCAAGAGTTAGTCCACAATTATGAGATTTTTATATGATATTAATTTCTAATTCACATATTTTTTTATGCCTTTTCTGTGTGTGCACTAATAATTGCTAGGCAATTCTTGTCCTACTTCCCTCCTATTCTGTATTACTGGTATTCTCCACATTTTCTCTCTCTCCTTTTTAAAAATACTGAGTCTCGAAAACATCAAATAAAAGCATAGTTCTTGGTATTAAAAAAAAAGACAATTTTATCTAACTTGGACTTCTGATGGGAGTCTGTCCCTATGGATAAGCACATTTTGGATTTAAGAATTTAGCTTTGTGCTCTTTCCTTTGTTACAAGGCTGCTATTAGTGGACCAGTGTGGTGACCACCGGTCTCATTAAAGATCAAGGCAAAACAAATCCAACTCCAAAATTACATTGTTATCAATCTCTTTTAAGTCCTGGAATAGCTTAAATTTGTCTCAGCATGCTCTGTCATCTAGAACCATGTATAAACACATCTTTTTGCTGAAAACTGTAGCTTCTGCTACTCTAGGATACATTAAAAAGTGGTGGTTTTTTTTTTTCCAAAAGTCACTACTGCCATCAATAATTTCATTTCCTAGCTACTCTGAGCTGTTTTGATGCAGTTTATTCCAAAACGAATTTGGGAATTTAAATGCAAATCCTAATGCATTATTTTGCAGTGTGTTTTAAAACTTAGGAAGGGCAGAAATATTCCTATGCAGAGATGAGCTTAATGATACCCTTTGTATTTTCATTTTCAAGAGGCATTTGTCCCCTGAAGAGTTCCAGGAAGTCTTCAAAATGAGCATTGAGGAATTTGATCGTCTGGCACTTTGGAAACGGAATGACCTGAAGAAAAAGGCCCTGCTTTTCTAGCCCCTCCGGGATAAAATATGTGCTTAACAAAACAAAAATAGTCTTGCCAGAACTATCACATGCACTTGCTGTTGAACCATTGTCCAGCTTCATTGTGTTAGTCTGTGTCAGGGGAAAAAGGACAGATTAGATGGCAATGTGTTGGAATACAGAGAATTTGTTAATCCAGCTGGTTTTGTCAGTAACTCCTGGTCCTACCTAGTTTACAACATGCAAAAAATCCAGCTTTAAATTTATTGTTGCTTGCAGTTATTGCTTGATGCAAACAGAAATTCTGAAAGGAAGAGAAAAAAAGAAGTGTAGCTGTGACAGAAGAAACGCATCCAACATTTTGTTCCATTAACTTTTACAACACAATTTTTATAAAATCAAGTAAGTAATGAATATAAAATTCTCCAAGAGGGGATCACATGCTATTAAAAATATGGTAAAAGCCAAAGAAAAGCATGTCCACAAGCGATTATTGCAATTGTTTATGTGTGGTACTTTTTAAGAATGAAAGCAAAAATATGGAAGCACCTTAATTCTACTTCTTATATCTAGACACAGCCTACTCTCTAAAAGGTCCTATTTGTCTAGAAGGTAACTAGCTATCTTTAATTGCTACACAAGAGTTTTTATTTTATTAAGAATATATTGTGACATAAAACAGTTATAATGACTAAAATGTGTACAGACCTACTGAAAAATTTAGTCCCATTCATCAGGAAAACTGAAGCCTTATACAAAACTGGTTTAAGAGTGTATTGTGCCAGTTGACTGTGTTTTCCTACTAGTTTGGGGTGTTTGGAGAACTTTTTTTTTTGCATTTCATGCTGATAAAAATACCATGTAATCCTAGTTGTATGTAGATAGATACATCTATCTATAGAAGAATTGTTTTCATTAATATATATGTCCTAACTAAAAACATTCTCACATTCTCCACTTCCTGGCTTTACATGGTAAGCCATGAGAATTGTGATGGCAATTGATAGGCGTGGAAATGGAACAGTTCAGCATAAAATGTAAGAAAAAAAGCTTGGTGTGCTCTATCAATAATACATCCAGTTATAATCAAATATATAAAACCCTCATGCATTACTATTCACGTGTTTCAGTACAAATCAATTTTAAAAAAAACAAACTTGGGTGATACTGGTGCAGTACCTTAAATTACAGGGAAAGCTAACACAATCTAAGCGTTTGGTATGCGCGTTAGACCTTAATATCTCTTCCAGCTGAAAGACTGTATTAAATTTAATAGTTTCTTATGGTCAGAAGTATGGTTGCTGACAAAGAATGTTTTAAAGTGAGTTGCTAGTTTTGTGTGATACTGAAAGAGCATTACAAAAAGTACGTTTTTCAGTCATGTGTCAGTATTCTGCATTTTTACTGCCTTGAATGTTTGTACTCACTTCCTACTTCACTATGTCTTTTTGCATTTCCTTAAAGTAACTGGTTAATATATGCACTACAACACACTATTTCAACAGACCCAGCATTGGAAAAATCCTAGCATTGAACATGCCTTCTTCCAACTAACTTTCAAATTCTGTGCTGTTGGAAACAAATACTTTCTCATGACCTAAATGTTTTGTCTGATGATACAAATGTTTAAAAAAATTCATTAAAACAAAGACATAACTAAATGACTTTGCTAATGTGTGCATAATTTTTGAATTGTACTGCTGCTCTGGATACAGTCTTCCCATGATATTAATGGAAATAATATGTAATTTGCATTAGATTTGGTCACTGAGAAGAGCATTAAGTGTACCTCCAAATGTCTAAAGTTGGTCATTATTTGAACAATCCATCTAGCAACTGTCACATCTCACCAAGCAAAAGCTGCTTCACTGTTAATGTTCAGGGTACAGAATCGTTAGCCAGTCTTAACGGAGAGCTCCTGATCACCTACAGATCACATCCATAACCGCCTTTTACCCTCAGAATAGCTTGTTATGTTTGACTACATGGGAAAACTTGCAGCGCACTGAAATGGACCAATCTAAAACGTGTTCAACAAGGTCTGTTGGCACTATGAAAATCTAAATCCAGGAGAACAGTTGGTGGAGAATGAAGATGAGTAAATCTGACATTGATGAAGACCACTCTTCTCATCTACACCTTCCTGGGACATCAGATTGATTACAGACATCTTCTCAATGAGTAAAAAAAGTACTGGTCAAAGAAATGTACATACCAGTGCAGAACAGGTTCAACGTGGATCTTCATAAATGAGTTGAAAATTGCTTGACGAGACCAGCTATTGTACCCATGTGGGATTCAACTCACTTTGTAAGGAAAATGTGCATTACTAAGCAAATGTGATCAGCAGCTCCATATTGCTGTACGGTATTATGCAGATATATGGCTGGCGACAAGTAAGGACAGTGAGAGCATGTGAGCTCTGTTTGACCCATTTAAGCTGTTTTGAGCCAGTTAGTCTGTTACAGTGTCAACAACATTAAAAGTGTCTCCTGAAGGTTGTTGTCCTACTTAAGCTAAATCAGATACAACTCTTGCTTTACATAGTCTCATGTAGACATTTTAGCCCATGAGCATCAGTGCTTACCTAGGAGCGGTATCGCATCATCCATTTATATTTGCTTCAAGTCAGTTTGTCATTCTGTGCTCCTTTTTATGGTCAGTGAAGAGGAAAAAAAGCACTTCCATGTTAAAAACTAGTTATATGAATTGCACCTATCACATTTCTGTCCACTGAATACAAAGGAAGCCAATCCAAATGCAGAAGCAGACATTGCAAAGTATCTAATCTTAGATGAAATTAGTTCTGTGCCTACAGTCTGTAAGTGAAGATAAGCCAAATTTTACCAAAGTGGTCTTAGACCACTGGCAGTTCCTAGACCATGCCACCAAATCACTTTCAAGCTGTCAGATCTCACAAAATGCCGTAACAGTAATTCTTTGTGTTCATTATACTCTTCACCAAACAGGCAGGCATTTGATGCCAAACACACAAAAATGTTTTAGGACACAGTCAGTTTATCAACTTACGTTCCTACTACTAGCCAAAACCAAAAAGGAATTTTGGCTTCCATACACAAAGCCTTTGCTGACATTAGTTGAACAAGTACTCTTGTGTGTCCTTACTTCATTTTCCTGAAAGTTTGAAATGGTCTGTAGATGTCTCTTCTGTGCAAAGGTGGCCTATCTCAGTAAGCTGTTCTGTTTTTCAGATGATACATGGTGGTGTATCACTCTAAAGTATCTAGTGTCAAGTGGTGTCATGACTTACTAAATTACGTTTTCTTGTCTAAGTTTGTATTTACAGTATGATATTGTATGCTGGATTTGGCAGGAGCCAAATACACAGGTTTAAAAGGACCATAAAGTGAGTAGTGTAGTAATTCACTTCACTGCTAAGATTTCTGTACATCATCTAACCTCTGTAAACCAGAACATGGCATACCCGAGAATATAACACTTCTGCTTCTAAAATTTAGTGTATTTTCCCCATTTAAAAATTGCAAATTGGAGTTTTAGTCCTGTAGTCTTCTTTGAGGAACTTAGAGTGTCTCTTAAAATGTGAATAGACTAAAGTGCAATATTCTGGTTTATTTCTGGAGTTCCATATGCTAATCTTAAATAGCATTATGAAATGGAAAATACATTTCAGAGTAATAAGATAAATCTTTGCCAGAATATTCCATCCGATAGTGTGATCCAGCATTGGCAGTAACAAACTGAGTCTTGTCAAATCATCAGCTGTTTTTGTAGACAATGCTCTTTAGAGTTATTAAGATGCTGTTCCATAGCCTTGTTTTCAGGGAAATGCTGTCTTTGAGCATTTTGGTAAATATGGCTATGGCTGTGCAGCTCAAAAGGATCAAAGTAGCTCTTGAAAGAACCTATTTTGATATGTATACAAGAAGCAAGGGGATTCTGTCAGATATTTCACTGTCATGCTTGGATCTGAATTGTATGTCTCAACTGTTCATGACAGCCCTGATGTATGACCTAATTCTCACTTCATGTATTTTAAAGAAGTCATGTCTTAAACTCAGCAAAGAAAGAGCCAATTTATTTCATTGTCATAGTCTTGGAGACAAAGGAATGGATTTTTGTGGTTGCTGAGGAATATCTGACCAACAATTCCAGATAGGAAGCCAAGCGTGCCACATTACCATTATAGCTGTCTGAGAAGGCTGGACATTTTTGCCTGACCTTCTGCTATTTCTTTTCCTCGTGGTTCAGGAGAGAACTGTGAAAAGTGGAATGGCAGAAACAAAAATATACATAGTTATGAGAAGCTACCTGGAATCTAATGGCCCTCTGAGACAAGGCTAGTTTTACATGAAGTAAAAAGATACAGTTCAGACCACGAGAGATGCCTTGTCTTACATTCCTCATTTAACACTTTCCAAGTGAGACCAAGCCAAACCATTAATTTGATTAATCTTGTCATAGATCTGCAGGAAAATGTGGTTCTGCTCTTTGCAGATGAGATAGGTGAGATCCCAGGCACTGCTGTTTGTATGGCACATGGCTTTCAGGGTGTCCTTATTTTCTCCTGCCCCTTTGACTTGTGTGTGAGATAAAGGGTAATGTTCTTCTAAGCTTCCTAAGGTCTAGACTGACACTTGACCAATGTGATTACTTGGTAGGTCACAAACATGGCTACCATTTTTCAGATTATCTTGAGTATCTGAAAAAATATGACATTTTAATATCACAGTGACAGACTGCAACCCTCTTCTGCATGTAAAATTACACTGGAGGGTTGCATTTCTTCATATTAGGCCGGTTATGGCCAAATCCTCACAGGCTTGCAGGAGGTGCTGGCTCAGTCTTTGTATCCTTTCTTACTTTTTCTATTCTGTGAAAAGCCATGTTAGGGAAGGTGGTGCTCGGTAGAAATGGATGCCTCTGAAGCATTAGTTCTCAACAGTTTACTTCTCTGGTACTGAAGCACACACAGCAAATGGAAGTTTGTTGGGTTGTTGCAGCTGGTTGTTGTTCCCTCCTCACAGCCGACATCTCTGTGAGTTACAGCT